TGGGAGGAATGAATCGCAGTGAGTTGTTCGTAACCACGCTGTTAAATCCTGACTTACAGATTCATTCAACACAAACAGGAAGAAAAAAGAAAAGACTGCAGCTTATATAACGTGTGATATTTTGTAGTAGTCCACAAATAAAACGAACCACAGTGTGTGCAGCTGAGCGTGAAAACAACTTATTGTGACAATGAAAAAAAGCTCAAAAGCGGCAGGAAAAGCTGGAGCGCAATCGAAAGGGGAAACGAAACATGGGGGAATTTACTGTTTTCACCACAAACTACAAAAATTTTGTTGACTTCGAGGACGGATAAACAATTCAAGATCCCCACACGGTAAGCTAAAGCAGCTGTCACAGTCGGCTCAGGGCACGGGTCAAGAAACTGAGGAGGCGAAAAGAAGAAACTTAACTCAGTGTTTGTCTCTGCAAAAAAGAGCCACATCGTGACCGTGTGAATTTCAGTCCAGAATCAGACGGAAACCGAACGACGTCGGCGAACACGTCGACCTCAGTAACTACGAGACTGTGAAGAAACAGAAGAAGAGTCTGATGTTACTGACAAACACAGTCCAGCACCTGCAACTGGTCGAGAGATAAGATCCAGTGAATTAGTACAACACAGGGTGTGTGTGTGTGTGTGTGTGTGTGTGTGTCCAACAGGATGTCAGACAGACAGAGGGAGAGCTGACAGCTGGAGCACACCCACAAACACACTGATCAAAAGCTATGCAGTGTGAGTGTGAGTGTGAGTGTGAGTGTGAGTGTGTGTGTGTGTGTGTGTGTGTAAATATTAGCTTGTTCCTCTGGCTGTTGGATCGTCGATACTGAAGCTTCATGGTCACAAAGTTTCAGTGCGATTCAGCACGTACTGGATTGTCCAGAGAAAATCACAGCCCACAGTTTCATACTGTTTTAGACAACAGAGTGTGTGTGTGTGTGTGTGTGTGTGTGTACAGTAAGAAGTATTTTTTACCCATAACTGACACATCTCTACCAACACACTGAGTGTGCTGAGCTGCAGACTTTTAAAACCCTCCAGTCTGCAAGCACTTCTCATCCCAGGCAACTGCGCTGGTTGTCGTGGAAACCAATTCAAAAGCTCCCTTTATTAAGACTCGACTCAGCAACAAAGCTCTTACTCACCCACTCTGCACACACACACACACACACACACACACACACACACACACACACACACACACAGGGAGGGAGGGTTAACCCAGGGCAACGCAACATGCATTCCATGACAGGAGACAGACTCTTCGAGATCGCACCCCCCCCCCCCCCCCCCCCACACACACACACACACACATGATCTCTGTCGACACACACACACACACACACAAAAGCTCCACACCACATTGTCCCCTTCCCTCTGCTGAGCCCCAGTCTGTGGTCGAAGCAGAAACTCTCAGGACGTAATACGACTCTGCCTTTATAAACATGCCGAGAGCGAGAGAGAGAGAGAGAGAGAGAGAGAGAGAGGGAGAGAGAGGGAGAGAGAGAGAGAGAGAGAGAGAGAGAGAGACAGAGACAGAGAGAGAGACAGAGAGAGACAGAGAGAGAGAGACAGACAGAGAGAGACAGAGAGAGAGAGAAAGAGAGAGAGACAGAGAGAGAGACAGAGACAGAGAGAGAGACAGAGAGAGAGAGAGAGAGACAGAGAGAGAGACAGAGACAGAGAGAGAGAGAGACAGAGAGAGAGACAGAGAGAGAGAGAGAGAGAACATGTGAACAAGAGGAGCAGAAATCATGCCGACACTAAAAACAGTAGTTCAGACACACACAAAAAAACGACGCACATTTTGCAATTTTCCGCTCCTCCTTTGTAAATGAGTCAATAAACTCGACGCACACTGAACAGCAGAGCTCAGGCGTCAGTGTGTGAGAGTCCAACCACACATCTGGCCACACCACAGGCTGGAAGAGTGTGTGTGTGTGTGTGTGTGTGTGTGTGTGTGTGTGTGTGTATTACAGAACAAGCAGGTATGTTGGCAAGCTCCTCTAGGTCAAACCCAAGTCAGTCAGTCTGTGAGATTATCAGGGAATGTGGACACACACACACACACACACACACACACACACACACACACACACACACACACTCGTTGAAAATGAAGGCCGTCGCTTCGACTGATTTTCAGAACAAAAACTATCGAGGCTCCAACATCAGAGCTGAAACTATTGATTGATTGGTTGATTAATGTTCAACAAACAATTAATCAGTTCAGAAACACTTCTACTAAACACTTCCTGCTTCCTGCTTCTCACACAAGAGGATTCGCTGCTCGTCTGATGTCACTGTAAACACAAACAAACAAACCTGAAGAGGACAAAAAAGTAAAAAAACATTAAACATCACTTTGTGCTTGTGACGTAAAGCGATCAACGTGTGAAACCAGATGCTGCGTTCAGGTACATCCTCAGTCTAAACTGTGCAGATATCCCCCTCGGGAGTTTTCACGCTGACTTTCCAGAAACTGCAGCAGCAGCTGGGACCTTGTTAAAATGAAGCACGACTGCGGTACCAGTCGT